CACAGTGCTAAAATACACCATGGGTCTTTAAAACACACACACACACACACACACACACACACACACACACACACACACACACACACACACTCTCTCTAAGGAGATTATGCATAAAGCCAGCGTGCATCTATAAGCCTTCTGACTGATTGTTTGTCCTTACCTTTTGCGTGATCTGAACTCTTCTCGTGCTCTCGTTCTTCTGTCCCTCTCTTTCTCTCTTTGTCCCTCCTTGGTTCCAGTTTTGGGCCTGCAACAGACGTCCTCCTCTCTCTCTGGATGGAGGGATGGGGAACAGAAGAACAGAACAAGACAGTGGGGTATTTCTTCAGGAGAGGAGGTGTAGAGAATCCTGTTAATCCCACAGCAGAAAAAAAAACTGGAAGAAAGAGGGACTCCTTCCTTTTTTCTTTTTCTCCTACCTCAGACCTTTGCTCTTTTTTATGTGTCCAGTGTCTTCCTTCTCCTTTTTCTCTCCCCTTTCATCAGTATAACTCTCTCTCTTTTCCTCCCTTTCTCTGCAGATCTTTGCCTCTTTGTTTCACTCCTTACTTCCAGTGCCAATTCTCAGAAGTGACTGATCATCTTCTGTTTGTTTCTCTTACTCTGCTCTCTTTTTCATGTAGAGGTATACAGAGGCATAAGGAGTGAATGACTCCCTCCTCCTCTTTCCTCCGACCTCCCTACCGTATTAACGGTGACACGGCAAGCTGCTCATTCACTGCCACTGATCCCTGTTACAGCGGGAGAGAGAGTCAGTGGGGGGTGATGAGGTACAACATAGAGGAGGCTGTAATTAGACACAAAAGCCCACAGACACGCACACACGCACACACACACACACACACACACACACACACACACACACACACACACACACACACACACACACACACACACACACACAAACACAAACTATTTCTTGGGTTAACAAAAGAAAAGCTAAGACACTAAATATGCCCCTCATAAACGTACATATACACATTCCAAGTTAAAAGCAATTATTAAACCTGCAGTAATTGTTTTTTTGGCCACTTCCAGGGAGGAGAAATGAGTTGTAAACACAACACACAAGCTATGTCTCAAAGTAATGGCTGGATTGCTGTAAAAATATGTTGCGCAGAATTCATTGATTTGGTGACCACTGGACCTTTGCTCTAACGCCACCATCAGACCTATCAGTACAATAGTTCAAGACTCTACTGCTGATTCTATATCATTCTTCAAATTTAATTCAAGACGTTTTAACTCATTAAAGTTATTTTCTTCTTAATAAGCTCAAATTATTCCATGCAGACTTTGACTTCTGACAATGATGTTTCAAAAATAAAATACATTTAAAAGCTTTTTCTGATCTTGCAAAGCTAGGTTAAGATTTGGTTGGGCTTAGGTACAAAAATGACTTGGTTAGGATTAGTTGCACTTACAGTAATAGTAGTAATACGTACATGTTTGTACTTTGTCTTTTTAACACACAAGGACATTTTTACTGAAACATCTTAAAAGTTAAATTACTAAACTAGGTCTGATGTTATTTGCAACCTCGGAATTTAACCCACTGTGCAGCAGGTTGGGTTTCACTCCTGGTCCCTCCCTGGGTACTCACAAGCTTTTATACTCTTATCTTGATTTACACATTTTCTGAACTGGGTGTAGCTGAGGTCATATCACATTCATATTTCAACACAATCTGCTGAGCAAATGTTGGCTGCCAACACAGCAACATCAATTAATTAAAGCTGAATTAATTGACTACTAATAAAAATATCAGATGACATGGTCATAATTGTTTTGCCACGTCTGGCCGTGTGGTGCTACCATGGTACTGAAAGGGGGGTATAATTCTGGCATGTTAAATAAGCATTTACCTTTTGTTTTGTTGTGTTTGATTGCATCCCCTATGTGCAATAACATTGGGGATTATAACCTACAGCTTTACAGACCTGTAAACACACGTTGATGTGTAAAATCAGCACACTTCTGCCCAGAACTAACTTCAATTAATGGCTCAGATTTTGATTTGCTTCAATCACTGAACTCAACCTGCCTGTATTTAGGACAGGCCTCTCACTCTCACTCTTGCTCAGTAAATATTGGAAATATTAACAAATTGTTTGTTTAAATCTTTATAAATGACTTGAATTACTTGTAACATCAATTACAAAACAATCATTTGATTGAAGTCTGGATAAAAGTTAACTTCATTTCATCTGCCTGTATCCAAAATTTGCACCTCTCACTGAAAAGTTCATGCGTTCAAAATTCCTTTCTAAAGTAAAAGCCCTTAATCTATGACTTTCCATTTGACTTGTCCCAGAAAGTTACTCAAATCAATTGCCTTTGGGTTATATTTTAGTCCACAGTTGTCCCATTAGAGGGTTTTACTCTGCCAGTCTGTCTCTCCCAGTGGGGGGTTGGTGGCCTCTCCCTCAGGCCAATCAGTAGGTGGTGAAGGGTGGGCAGAAAATTAGGTTCACAGACTGACTTATAGTATGGAACAGAGCGTTCACTCTGATGAATTAATGTGTCTGTAAAGTGTGGGGAGCGTTGGCACAGATCTGCATTGCACCCAGGACTCTCAGATTTGTTCACTGAAACTGCCAACAGAACTTTCACATTTACTTCATGCAGCAATTGGCCAAGTGTGCAGAGGTAAGAAAGGAGCCAGAGTTCGACCTTTTCATTTTTTAAATAACTATTGAGTGACAAATGAGTGCAGCACTATGAATGTCTTCCTGGAGAGACTGTCAGAAAATGTGTGCCTTTGCCCACATAGTTCGTTATAGTGAAAATATCAACTATAACAACATATGAAATGGGAATGTGAAGACAATGTAAAAAGTGTCCGTTGAAGTGGTGAACCTACAAATCATGTAAATCTTCAGCTCCCCTCTGCTTTAAATCCACAGCACACCACTTTATTCAATATGCATTCTGTCTGGTTTGAGAAAACTATTTTTCCGCTTTTCCAGTGTAGTGAACTCTACATGCTTTAGTATTAGTATGGAGTTTGTAAGAATAGTTCACATGAAAGAAAAAACCCTTTCGCCCTGCTTTTTGATTTATGTGTTCAACAGTCATATCTGAGTAGAAAATTGAAGTCCATACTTTGAGCCATGCCATGTAATTGGCACATACACAGTATGATCATTGAAATATTATAAGTTGGATAAAGTGAAATATTAATGTAACTCATAACACGCATGTGTTTTCTTTTCAGAAACATGAATGCTCAGCATCCTCCACTGGTCTGGATATTTGTGGTTAATATCAGTATAATTGTTATCATTATTATTATTGTTGGAAACATCAATATATTCCATACTAATCTATTTATTACAAATAACATAATTATAGGTTAAAAACTAAATGAACAGTTTTCTGGTCTGGAGATTAGGTTGTCAGGTCTGCCTTGATGCTGATGTGGAATCATGAATGTTTGCTTCCCTCCAGTGGACACAAAGAGAAACTACATAGAGTGAAAAAAGTTAGACATCATAACACAGTTAGACTTTGGGTCAATACTTTCAAAATAAATCTAATTTAACAAACTGAGGCAAATTAAGAGAAATATTGAAGAAATTATTATGCAATCCTTCTATAGTTATCACAGTTTCACAGGCCCACATCCATTAAGCACAATAAGAGAGATACTTATTCTCATTTTTATCATTTAGAGGTAGTCATTAATGTTATTAATATCTGTAGGAAGAAGATAAGAAAACCAACTGATGATGCGTGTGCAGCAACAATAGGCACAATAATATGTTGACAAAATGTCATGATAGCTGATGCCTTGCTGAGTTGTAAATCTGCACCACATACAATTCATATCAAAGGTGACCTCAAAAGAAAATGTTTGAGCACACAATTTACATTTATCAGCACATTATCTATATCTCTTTCTCTGCCCTTCAGCAACCTGGCATCCCTAACATTCACCTGTACGTAATACCTTCAGCCAGTTCTAAATAAAGGCCTCACGTGTTGACCTCGGTGAACAACATAGTGAAAGTGTTGTCTGGTTTCCTCTAAACATTGGCTAAAAACAGGTTTCTGTGTGCTTGCATAACAAATATCCTCTTTATGAAAATAAATATAAATATGTTTGAGGTCTGCAAACTAAATTCATTTTATCAAAAAAAAGAAACAACTTTAAACGTCATCCAGTCCAAAACCTCTATTAAAAATACAGTAGGATTTTCTTCAGACAATGACATTACACAATAACTTAATGAACAAATGTGTAAAAAGGCAGCAACAGTTTCAAGTTAATATTTCCTTCTGTCTTTTGTGAACAGTTTCTTCACGTTTCTCACATTTTAAGGTATTCCACACAAACATATATGACAGTGAACATCAGTGCAATGGCTTGTCATCTATATTTAGTAAATGTAGCCTTCTCTTGGTAAGTTGGTGCAATTCTAATGTACAGTTGTTTTTATTTGAACAATGCTAGCATAGATACAAAAGATTTCGCAACTGAAGCTGCCAGAGGTGTATTATTGTCTGCAAACATTAGAAGACCTGCTCCTCAACAAGATCAGAACTGTGATCGTCCTTCATATCAAGTTTCAATACTGTTAAATGAAGCACAAATCTGCATGTCATCCCCTCTTTCTCTCTCCCCCCTTTCTTGTCACTCTACAGCTGTCACTATCGTTCAAAGGCAATAAAAGCCCCAAAAATATTTTTAAAATGTATTAATTAATCACAAATCAATCACAAAAGAAAATTAATCCAACCAAGGAAACAGCATCACATGATACAAACTGAGAAGAAGAAATGCAGCTCTTTGAACTCAAAGGGGAGGAAATTTGTAATGCACTCGTTGGGGACCACTAATTTGGTGCTCATATTTGGTGCTCAAGTGAGTATTTGTACAGCAGTACAGTGTATGTGTGATTGAGGCAAAATAAACTAGTGTGGATCATTGGTGTGCAGCAGCAAGATAGACTTATGTTATGTACTTTGATGACTTGTGTACTTAATAATAATAATAATAATAATAATAATAAATTTTATTTATAAGCTCTTTTTCTGGATACTCAAAGACACTTTACATAAAGACAACATAAAAGCAGCAAAACAACATAAAAATTGTAAAACACTAAAAACACATTGGACTAAGCTAAACATTAAAAGCAATTGTAAAAAGGTGAGATTTTGTCATTGATTTGAATGCTGGAAGGTCGGTGCAGTCAGGGATTTGTTTGGGGAGAGAGTTCCAGAGGGAGGGGGCAGCTACAGAGAAGGCTCTGTCGCCCCAGGTTCGGTGCTTAAACAATTTCTTCACATTTCTCACATTTTTAGGTATTCCACACAAACATACACAACAGTGAACATCAGTGCCATGGCTTGTCATCTATATTTAGTTAATGTAGCCTTCTCTTGGTAAATTGGTGCAATTCTAATGTACCGTTGTTTTTATTTGAACAATGCTAGCATAGATACAAAATATTCTGTCAACTGTTTAGAAACTGAAGCTGCCAGAGGTGTTTTATTGTCTGCAAACATTAGAAGACTGGTTCCTCAACAAGATTCATTCATTTACTAAAAATGATAGAACTGTGATCGTCCTTCATATCAAGGTTCAACTCTAAAAAGTAGGGATGCTCGATATTGGCTTTTCTGCCGATAGCCAATATTCCGATATTGTCCAACTCTCAATTTCTGATACCGATATCACCTGATACCGATATATGCAGGCTCTTTACACCAAAACTGTAACAACATAACATATCTCCTATTGTGGAATTAACACATTATGCCTAATTGTATTGTGATGCCCCACTGGATGCATACATAAATGCAACATGGCTTTCCAAATGTAAACACTGTCTGTGCAAAATAAGAGAACAACTTCAACTTTCATTGTATTAATACTGAAAAGAGTGCTAACGCTAGCTACGCGCTAGCTTTGGTTAATGTGTTTAATTGTATTATTCACCTGAAGGAGTGCTAATGTAAATTCTAAGCCAATTCTTAGTTTGGTTAAGGAACAGCTCATAGCAGGGTAAAATATTTAAGGTACATTGCACTTATTTTGTGTTAATATTAAAATCATTCAGCTTTAAATTGTTTGCTTGTTAGCCACGGTTAGCAACCAACCAGTCTAGCGTGTAGTTGTTGTTGTTGTTATACGTCATCTAGCGAGCGCGCCTGCGTTCATGCAGGCTCGGAAATGCTGAAGCCTACAGAACAAACATCGGTTATAAAAACCCGATACCGATAATTCCTGATATTACATTTTTTAGTGAATATCGGCCGATATTATCGGAGGGCTGATATTATCGGACATCCCTACTAAAAAGTAAATTAAATTAATCATAAATCAATCAAAAAGAAAATGAATTATACAGTATGGCAAAAATAACCCAAACAAGGAAACACCATCACATGATACAAACAGGAAATGCAGCTCTTTACAATTCAATTCAGTTTTATTTGTATAGCACCAATTCATAACAGAAGTTATCTCAGGACACTTTTCAAATAGAGCAGGTCTAGACCGAACTTTCCTTGCCCTTTCCTTGCCCTTGTCGCCAAGTTGCTCATGGTGGTACTGTTGGGTCTCTGTAAATAATGTTATAAAGAGTTCGGTCTAGACCTGCTCTATTTGAAAAGTGTCCTGAGATAACTTCTGTTATGAATTGGCGCTATACAAATAAAATTGAATTGAATTGAATTGAAACACTGCCTGTTAAAAGGCAGAAACCTAGGACAGATCCTTCGGCTCTAGGTGGGTGGTCGTCTGCCTCGACCAGTTGGGGTGAGAGAGAGAGAGAGAGCATGAGAGAGAGAGATAGAGACAGAGACGGACGCACAGCAACAACTACACCAATAGTAGTGACTGATGATGATGAACATGAAGAAGACGATGACGACGACAACAGCAACGATGGGGGACAGAACTCAAAGGGGAAGAAATTTGTAATGCACTCATTAGGGACTATTTTCTGTGGCGGATTAATCCACATTTGGTGCTCTAGCGAGTATTTGTACAGCAGGACAGTGTATGTGTGATTGAGTCAAAATAAACTAGTGTGGCTCATTGATGTGCAACCTATGTTATATATTATGTTGAGTTGTGTACTTCCATTATCCCAAATGTTTCCAACAATATTCAAACTCAGTCATTTTAGTCAGGAAACGATGCATTTCACCGGTTTCACACTTTAGCAGTGTCTATTCAATTATATGTGTCTTTAAACACCTTTGCAGCAGCGTACTTGTAGCTCACCTGGTAGAGCTGGGGTTTGAGTCCAACCTGTGGCTGTTTGCTGCATGTCATCTCCTCTCTTTCTCTCCCCCTTTCCTGTCTATCCTGAGCTGTCCTGTCAATAAAGGCAAATATCCTTAAAACATATATTTATTTAAAAGACGTTAAAAAAGATGTCTGCATGTTACAACTTGGCTTCTTGTTCTAGCACACACACACAATCCTCTGGTAGAAGTCCACTCTCCATGAGCACAGTATTGACAGTCAATGTGAGCTGGGCACTGTAGCTCAGCAGTCGGCCATCATAAATCAGCTGGTCTGGTGTCAGATTGGGTTGTTTTGGAGCTCTGCACAGACAGAAAGACGAAAGAAACGTGATGCACAAACATAGCTGTTAGGAAAGAGTTGGAGAGTAACTGTTGGTTTTGGTAAATTTGCATTTGAGGCGACAGTCAGCTGTATTGAATATTACATGCTTCTTTAATCCAAGATCACAAATCTAAAAGAGAACTGATTTAAACTGTTTTTATCAGATTGTAATAAAGTATAATCTGTAGTTTTCAGTTTAGTGGTGAATGCAACCGAATGTTTGGTTCAGTCGGAGGATTTTTCTTCCTGAAGTGGATAAAAAAGGAAACTCAACTTTATTCTCTATTCATATACTGCAATTCTGTGTAATCCTATGGTTTAATTTCTGCTGATGGTGACAACCAGTGATTAACCTGTGTTAGCTTTCTCAGATGAATAAGTATATAGTACAGAGAATATTATCTATCATAATATTTGATCCAAGAGGAAACTGAAAGAAGGGTGGCACAATTACAAATCTGTCTGCTGCAACTTCAGCACCACGGACAGCGGCATGGATTTATCAACACACAGCACAGTTGTGGCCAAAATCCACTGGGTGCGTTTGCAACACTTTCTGGCTGCACTGTGGCCGGCAGAGCGGATTGCTCCCATTCTATACAGTGTTCATGGAGAATACACTGGTCTACTTTTGATGGATGGCACTACCCAGTTGCGTAAAGCAGCATAGAGCAGATCACATTGGCAGAAAGTCAGGCACAGAAACAACATAGAGAATCCGGTCAATTTTCAAAATAAATTGACTTTCACACAACATCAACATAACCTCAAGACCTGTGGCACCAGACCAGAATTCAGTCTTGGTAGAAGCACTAATATCAAGAAAAGAAAAGACAAAATACACAAGTCAACAACATTGGGCAGGCAAGATGCTCTGCTTCTGAAACACTCTCGTGGGATATGATGACGTGCAGATTCACGGTGTCACAAAGCCAAGCCCGGTGGAATTTTATTGTTAGGCTACTGATATTTCTGAGCCATGGTCGTGGCCATACTTGCACAAACCTCCATCAGATAAAGGACCAAGGAAGGAAGGATTTCTGTCATTTAGCTAACATGATAGCATCCCTCCTCATATTGCCTACTGGTAGTATAAGGGACATTATATTGTTAACTATTAACTCAAAAGATTGGCACTCTTGTTTCAATGATTTCCTGTAAGAAATTAAGCGTTTTAGTAGAGCGGGTCGTCCTGAACTATCCTTGAGCAAGATACTGAACCCCAAATTACCCCAGATGCTGTGTGATCGGTGTGAATGTGAATGAGTTAGTGTCTGTTCGATGGGCTTTTGCCATCACTGTGTGAATGTGTGTGAAAAGGCGAATGTGGCATCTAGTTGCGCTACAAGTACAGTCCATTTACCATATTCACAATGTTTAAGGAATCCGATTACTGCAGAAAGTTAAAATTCATGTTTGACAAAAACTTCCCTTTCTCTGTTTATTTGATACAAAAGAATCATGTGTTCATCAATAACGACTGCATCTAAAAGTTTATTTATTTATGTATAACTAGTAGGCTGCATCTCACTGGTTACTTGTTATGGTGGTGTAAATCCTATTTTGCATTTTCCCTTCCTGTTATTTGCAGGGTCCCTAATTAAAGGCATATGCAGTAATGAGAGAAGCACACTGCGAAAACACTAGCTAAATGACTCGAAAGTGGTGGGTCTATTTGATAAACACATTTTAGGGAGAAGATAAGTTTGTTTTATCGATTGTCTTTCTTGCAGCAACCTGAACAAATTATGTGGAGGAATTCTGATTAGTGAGTACACAAGCATCAGTCTACCTGGTGTGGTACATCCGTGCTATATTCCTGTCAACCCAGGAGCAGCCGTTCAGTGAGTGCAGCAGCCCGTGGACGGTTGGGATGAACACAGCTCGGGGGTTGACAATTATCTTGTAGTTCAGGTTATGAGTCTCTTTAATGATGGGTTCCTGGTACAGGTGAGCCAGAATGTTCACCCCGGATACATTCTGCCAGCCGGGGCAGCAGCGGCTCTGTGGGGGCAGAGTTTCGGAGGTCGGAGGAGGCAGAGTGATGGTGTTGGGGAACACGTTATTCTGAAATATGTAACACTTGTCAGCGCCATATTCCTTTTCCAGCAGAGGCAACAGCTCCGACCAACTGGTAAGAGAATAATTTAAAAGGAAAAAAATACATTGGTAAAAAAACACAATAAGAATATAAAAAGAGAATACATGCTTTGTAACATACGACAGCACACTATGTTCAATTTGTAAATATATGTAACTCCTATGTAAGTATCAATAACTGCTGTTTAAATATTATAAATTATCCTAAGGTAATTCACAAAGATATACTGGGTCTCAAGTAGTGGTAAAATATATGAACCATTTTAAACACACCCTAGATGTAATTGTGTACAAACGGGTAATAAATACATTGATCCAAAACTGTATTTCCTACTGTCAGTGTACTGTAACAACTTGATAAGGAACTTAATCTGATACCAGGCATTTGCCTCATTTCATAAAGATAGTGCTACCTGTTGACTGACTGGGGCAGTATGAGCTCATCTATATCCTGCAGGGCCACATATCTGGATTGGTACATGTATCTGTAAATAAAGTCACTGAGAGCAGCAATCTGGCCGAAGTAGTGGAGGTCACCTGGACCGTGTTCAGGCAGCCAGCCTCGAGATACATTCAGAAATCTGGACATAGACCAAGGAATCACCTCTACTAAACCTGAGAAGACATTGAAAGAAATCGATTATAGGAGGGGCAAGGTCTGTGCACACTGTTCAAAATGGATGGATGGAGAAAATACCCCTACTGTGGCTGCTAGTGCAATCACACACAAAATATTCCACCTCCACCATACTCCACCTTTTTGTGTGTAGTAGTCCAGTACGTGCTTTATTTCAGGGCTGTTGCTGGTCTTATAGATGACAACTCTGTTCACCCCCAGTAACTGCAGCATTTCCAAACCCTGGACCAGCTACAATACAACACAAGTGTTTAGTTGACACACTCCAGGGGCATGTAAGCACTAAAATGCCTGACAGTCAAAAAAGTCTGTGTCTCTCCATTATTAAGGGCAAAAAGTGGTAAGAAGCATTAGAGAAAATATTCTCTGGGTTAACTGTAATGTAAAGTGTGATGGAAAGGTGCTAGGAATAGCAGGGAACAATGACAGCTTGCCTGGTCACACAAGTTCTCATATTACAAATAAACAGTAAACGGAAATATGTTTCTGAAAAGATTTGAGGAGAGAAATAAGCAATGCAGTGACAGAATCTTGATTCATATTTGATCAGCACTACCTGTTTGATCTGAGGTTAGTGCATTGTGCTGGATGAATTCACTGAGAATGATTGGTCAGTCACAAGGTTAACCATGCCCTAAATCATACCCGACTTTATTCTATTTTACTCTAAATGGGACCATAATTTACTAAATGAACAGCATGCTGTATGGAAGAAGACTTGAAACTAGAGCCTGAGACCATAAACTCATTAGGAAACTGTTTACTAAGCACTAAATCAAGTGAGAAGTAGGCTCATTTCTCCATAAGACTCAATATTATGGAGCCGATGGAGCTGCCACCTGTTGGCCGTTAGAAAGAATGCATGTTTAAGACACTTTGTGTTGGCTTCACTTCAAAGAATTGGAAGCTCTGTCCAGTATTTATAAACTGTGAATGTGTGTGAGATGTTACCTGCAGCACGTTGGTGAAATCAAACATGGTGGAGAGGCAGACGGTGAAATTGTAAGGAAAGGAGTCACTTATGGCCTTCTGGTTATTCACTTCCAAAAACTCTTTGTCTGATTTATCCAAGTGACCACAGAAAAGAACCACAGATACATTTTGACAATCACATTTCTGCACTGTACTCTTGAAGAACAAGTTTAAAGTTTAAAAAACACCTGAATAAGGTCATCACCAGCAAAGATATCAAATGTCTGTTGACGTCTATGGATCAAACACTACAGGCAGTGAAATTTACTTAAAACATTGGGTGACTACCTTCAGAGTCTGCTGCAGCAGAGGTCACAGTGATATAAGATGGAGTCTCACAGCCTGAGGGGAGAGGACACATGATGTCTGCTGTCCCATATGCAAAACCAAAGTGATCAGCGTGGATGTTGCTGACACCTTCAGAGATGTACAGTTGGTCATGACAACAGAGGAGGCAGCGATAGGCTACTGTCTCACTCCTCAGCACCACTGCAATAACACGAACCTGACACCAGAAGACAAAATTAAGGATGTTATTACAAGGTTAAGAGGAGTAGGTAAACTTAAAATCTTTTTTTAAATAGTTGTTTTTCTTTTACCTATTTCATTGTTTTATTTTGTTACACTTTAAAGGTTACATACAATATATGAGTATAATATATTATAGCAGAGTACAGCAACTGAAACTGCAGTTTTTATCTGTGAGTTAAGGATTTATTTCGAACAAACCAGAGTGGGGCATTGTTGGAACTGTAGAAAGTCTGACAAAGATGTTTTTTGTGAGGTTTATTTTTAAAATAAAAAAGGTATTTGTGAAAATCTTTAGAGAAAAACAAGCCTATTGCCAGACAAACACATCAATATTGGATGCTTCCTCAGAATCTGGGATTACGTTCAATGCCAGAGTTTTTGCTTTTTACAATATTTGCACATGAAAACTACTTGAGGTTAAGAAAAGATTGTGCTTATGGCAGATGAATCTTGGTAAAGTTAGGGTTAAAGCACTGTGTAACTTTATTATTATTTTTTTTATTATTTATTATTATTTTATTTTTATTTTTTAAAGTATCGGATTTGGATCAGCAGATACTCAATATTAATCAGATTGGGGGCCAACAAAAGTTGATTTGGAATATCCCTATTAATAATTTCATTATTGTTATTATTACATGAATTAAGTAGAAAGCACAGATCTATGCCCTGCATCTACAGTATCAGTAGTATTATTGTCAAATGAACTATATTAACCTTCTCTGGAAGACGATTAGTCAAATTATTGTACTAGTGAAATAAAGTTTATATTGAAAATATGATTATTGTAACTATTATATTAATCAAATAAACGCTACAGACCTCTGACCTGCACACAGCACTGACTTCTGTCAACTATAATTCTTGGTTAAGGTTAAAAAAATTATCATAGTTCATAAAGAGATTAATATTAATTGAAAGTCTGACAGGATTCAACCTCTGCTGCAAAAAGTCAGATGTGCAACACATTGCCACCATCTCAACTTCAGGTGGCTTACTTTTTGTCTTACTACATAAATGACTCACTACTTCCACTACAACATAGGGAAACTGCGGCGAAATACAGTGACTGCTGGGGTTTAGTGCCAATGGATCCATGGGGCTTCTGGATTTAGTGTGGTTTTGTAGGTGTAGAAGATAACAAGACTAAGAGGCTACAGTCATGCTAGCAGCTCTGTGAGAGTGTTTTGAGTTAAATGACAACATCAGCATGCTAACACGTTAAACAGGTATTAGTATTAGTATTATTTTTTATTTGTTGTTCAGTGTATTAGCATTCTAATTTCCTAATTAGCAATAACCACAAAATACAGTTGAGGCTGATTGGAATGCCATTAGTTCTGAAAGGTATTTGGTCATCATGACGTAGCCTTATGTTGCATTCACTGAGCACAGGAACAGGGAGTGAAACTTGGCGGAGTTGGTGCCCTGCTTTTTTTTACTGACCTCCTTTCTGCCTGTACGGTGCTCCTGATAAGCTGATATGAGCAGCGTTTTTGTCCTGTTGACTGCCACCTTTTGTCCCTGAGGAACTGCATGAGTGAAAAATGTTAGACCGAGTTGGTGCATAAGTGCTTAACATTAATGTCTGTCTTTCCACAAAAGATACTAAGTTGCCTATTTCTCTGCAAATCAGATGGGGCAAGAAACATGAACAGTCAGACAATCAGACAGGTAGGAAACACACTTCTTCTATCTCAGAAATCAACTTGTGAAAACATTATTATCGCAACCAACAGAAAGGATGAAAAATAATTTCCTGTTATAAATCCATCCACCCTGCCAGTTGCAGTTGTGTGATGCTGTTGTCTTACTTACTTCTTACTTTTTATGAAAGAAGGGAGTATAACCATAGAAATGAAAAAAATCAAATCACATTGCCTACCATTAGGTCCCACAAGCCCAATCCAGATCCAGATTGAAAAAGCAGTTAAATACAATTCAGTAAAATGCTGTGAGACCCCAACCATACCCACCACATCAAGTTGTACATAGTCAGTAGACAAATGTGACAAAAACAAATTAAAAGAAAGATGAAGAGAGCTGAAATTGTAGCGATTACACTTTGCTTTCACAACTATGGTTCGGACCAATGATATATTAAAGCTGGACATCGCGGCTCCACTTTCTCACACTGAACAATAATAAAGCCACGATATTTATGTTGCCATTTTTTGCCATTCTCGAAATGTTTTGGCTTCACTTTTAGAGACCTATCAAATCGTCCATCTTTATACAAGTAATTCGTCTGGGCCAGGAGAAAAATGTACACATTGTTGCATTTAAGTTCTGGTACGGTTCGTGTTGACTTTACAAACAAACCTTTCAGACCACTGAAGAACCCAACCAGTCTGATTAGAAGCTTGATACTTCTCAAGATTAGGTTAAGATTGTGGTGTCATGTTGTCATATAACTTATACTTTTACAGTATTTTTTCCTTTCCTTAACATATATGGATGTTGTTTTAGTTGCTACGAGTAGATATTGTATGGTAAGAGCAGATAGAAAGAAATTGTTACTTAATCTTTTGCAGATTATGAAAATGTTTCCACTTTGCCATTATGTACATTAAAAAGTAACAATAAACCCCATGGAAATCTTGTTTCTGCTCATCTACAGTAGCCTCTCCCTCTCTCATCTTGCTGTAGTGATGCACTGTAGATCACATGGAACTGCAGTGCAGTGCTTTTCAGTGTTCCTCATTAAGGTGGTATTACATTTTGTGGGTTGCAGCAGACAAGTTGAGAAGAGAGAGTGAGGATAAATCCACTTTTTAATCCCAAAAGTTTAAAAATAAACTCCGAGCTCTCCTCTTGCCAGTAAATGTCTTCAGATAAGAGCAGAATCCAGTGTGACTACTGGAGTGAATTCGTCCAGAAGCTCGAACTCTCTTCTGCAGAGCTCTGCGGCAGCAGCTCTGTTTCTCTGCTTCTTCCCATACAACACAGCAAACACCCCGCAATATGCGCAAATTTCGTCCTCACAGTTCAGTATTTATGCGTGTTTGCGTCGCCCAATTTGTGTCATTCGCGTCACCTGGCGCGAATTTGCCTCTATTCGTGGCTTTGTATTGACTTTGTATATAATCTACTCGCACAAATTATTTTATTGGTGGGAACGCAGCATTACACAAACTAATATACAGTTATCACACTGTACATCCTACATTAAGATAAACATTGGAATAGACACATTAACATTAACACATAACATTCAATCCATTTTGAAATTTACTGATGGGTGTAATGTGAAAAAAGTAAATATATTGTAGGAATTGTAGATTCAATAAATGGAAATAGTGAAAGACAATAATAGCATTAAGGTGAATCAAGAATGATCACGAGGAGTTCAGGAACAGGAAATAGGATATTTAAATAATAAACAGCAGCTGAGAAGAACAGGAAGACGAAATATTTCTTTGGGACAGATGTTATTCTACATTTCTTAAAAAGCGGCGTTCAGAAAACAATTAGTTTACCTATTTGTCCTTGACCACACTGTTGAGGCACTGTGGGTTGCACAAAAATCTGAGGCTCACTGGTTGCTTTGTAAAACTTGATCTTGTCGACCCTGTGCATCCACAGCAAATCATTTAGCTGATGTCAACATTTTACTTGACAAGAACTTTTAAACTGAAGTTCCAAGAACAATTCAAAAGGTAAGAGAGCATTCAACTCAGCATATTTAGAAACAAAATCATAATCAATCATTTCTGCGAATTCAATACATGTTTACAGTGACAAAGATGTCTTGTGCCCGAAGTAACATTCTCTTGTCCAAAGCAGTAAATAGTGTGATATTTCATTGGTTTTCATGTGGTGTAGATGTAAAACAAACTTCCACAAAATCTGCAAAAGAAAATGCAAATCAATGTGTGTTTCCATCGTTTAAAAAAAACGGCTGACACGTCTCGAGCCTGTGTGCAGCCAGCAGCCCTCGGCCTCCAATGGAGCAGCTTCTCCCATTGAAGTCAATTCACCGTGTCCAGCCTCCTGGGCATCCTTAGTTTAGGGTTGCACTCTCTTCCCCTCTACTACCCCCTCGGTATAGGCGGTGATGGCATTCCACTGTCTGTATATAATGTCAACCAATTTAATACTTGTACTTACATCTGCACTATATAAATACTGCTAATACTGTTCATACTGTACATATCCTAACTTAATTAACCCACACTATATAATTACACCATAATTTTACTTTTTGCAATTGCGACTGTTGCTGCTGCTTCACAAGCTGTATATATATCTTAGTGTATTCACTTCACTCCATTCATTCTGTTAATGCTGTCCATACTGTATATATCTTGCTAGCATATTCATATATATATCTATACTGTTATTTTTTATATCCCTGTACATATGTATATTACTCTGCACTTTACAAGTACAAAGACAACGAAATGCAGTTAGGCATCTGACCAGAAGTGCAAAAAGCAGTACTTTGTGCAAGGACAATAAAGTTGAATCTAATCTAATCTAAACTTGCCACCCTCACCTCATCCACAGGCTCACCAACCTGAACAACAGGCCCACCTGGGCACAAACATTCAAACTGTTACTCCTTCAGTCTGACAACCTGCTCCACTCAGTCTCAGCTCCAGTGGTCTCCTCTCCCTCTCTCCTACCACAGCCACCTGTTACTGTTGCAGTGTCTTCCCCCACACAAGCTTCGGGCCAGATAATTAATAAGTCAACTTACCTGCACTCAGTTAGATCTCTAATGACTGAAACTGAGATCAAAGCTTCCGATTTACAAATGAAACCCCAATCAACCTTAGATTTTAATTGTTGGAGACTCTATCATCTGATTCATAAAGCTACCTGGTGCAATTACATACATACGTCTTTCTGGGGGGAAGACATGATTTTATTGAACTGACTCAAGCTCTTGTTGACATCCATTCCTCTGTCAACACTGTGATAGTGCACGCTGGCACAAATGACGTCATGACGAACTTGAGCCTCTGACCTAAGCCTGGGGAGGAGTTGTGTCCTGTCTGGTCACTCCCACTTTGACCAGGAGCTCTGAGCATTTTAGCCGTCTTTTTGGTCTACACATATGGAAGAAAAATGTTACTACTGCCACTGGAATTGGTTTTATTAGTCATTTTGACTCCCTTTGGTTGCATCCAGACAGGGAAGGAACAGGAATACTGATCGGGAATCAACTTCATTGCTTTTAGCCTGAATTGATGGTTTCCCCAGCATGACCATGCCAAGCATGTCAGCTCTATATCCCATAGCCCTGTCGGATTTTATAGACATTTTGCAGTCTTTAATTTCCCAGGCATTCCCGTGTAAAGGGATACACCCTAGATATTGCCCTGTTCCCCGGTTTTGCTCTTGATAACATTGATATTTATGATACTAGTTTATATGTGTCAGAGCACAAAGCCATTATTATGTCATAGCACTGAATCTGCTCCTATCAAAGTACAAAGTAACAACCTTCAACTTACAGCTGACGGCTATGATTGTTCTGCATGTGGGTTGGCATCAGGGACACTGCCCTAAAATGTTTTTTATCATATTTATGTAGCAGAACTTTCTCAGTGGTCATGGGTAACGCCTCCTCTTCTGGTGGACATGTGTCCCCATATAATCATTTGAATGTATTAAAACTGGTCAAAAGACGATCATCGATCAACTGACAAATTTTGGTTCCACTAAAGACCATCATCACATCTAATGAATATTAATGAATAACATCAGAATTAATGCCTGTTCTCTGTTTAAAACCAAATTTACATTGTAGTGAATTGAACTGCTCTGCATATTAAAACCTGTACTGTCAACAGTTTCTACGGTAGGTCAGAATAGTAATTTCACCCACTTGTAGGTATAGAGCAGCATGAGAGAGAGGATGGTGATGACAGTACTGCAGTACATCAACTGTCTTAAAGTCTTTAGCTGAAGCAGCTGCTGATGATTGCTGCACATGGCACACATGTTGCCTCAGTTCCACTCCTTTCTGCTCGTACACGTCTCCGGAGAAACCTGGACAAGCAGAAGAAATGAGTGATTCGTAACATTTCCCTCAGATGTTTCAGCTATGGGGTGCCGTTTGTAAAGCGGCTCACGCTGAAAATAACAGCAACATTTTGTCACATTTAGCTTCAAACAATGTTTAAAAAACTGGTATGAATTTTTGAGGGTCACTTTTTTGCACATTTACAACAATATTTGTCGACTTAGAGATATTTTAGATTATTTATTTAAATATTAAATGTTAAATGTTAAATGTTAAATCTAAATCTAAATCTAAATCTAAATGTTAAATTTTAATCTAAATGTTAAATCTAAATATTAAATCTAAATCTAAATGTTAAATCTAAATGTTAAATCTAAATCTAAATCTAAATCTTAAATCTAAATGTTAAATCTAAATGTTAAATCTAAATCTAAATGTTAAATCTAAATGTTAAATGTTAAATGTTAAATCTAAATGTTTCGGGTGAAACTAAATATTTAACTAATATGCAAATTCAAAATGCCGGTAACCGGAAGTACCAAAATAAAAGCTCGAGGAGGTCAGTGTGTGTTTATAGTGTCAAATAACGAATAAAAACCATCTCATCCGGGGAAACAGACTCTTGGACATGGATGATCGTGATAATAACTACCTAAAATAATAAACACGTTTGGAGAAACAGTATTTGAGTACTTAAAGTTTTAGTGTCACTTTTATGAAGAGTGCGGACTTATGACCCTGAGGAGGTTGCTGTCGCTGTTGAAAACATTTGTATAGCCAATGTTGGTTGAATCAACACATGGCTCATTTTAATTTTCAAATGAGCCATGTGTTGATTTGCCACAGTTGCTACCGTGAGGCTGTCAATCAAACTCTCAGCGACAGAGACCATAACGTGAGTTAACGTCGGTTGTTGGACTGTAATTCCGAAAATGCTCATACTCATATGTAGATAGGTAAAGCCTATACATTTTTTTATTTTTTTACCCTTTATCTATCCAGATAAAAACATTAAGAACAGTTTCTGTATGATGTTTATTAGACCTATGTAATCTGAATTGGAAGGGCACGTTGTCATGAGCTGTATCTTGTATATTTATTATTAGCTATGTGGTATGTTTATGCACCTTTATGTAATCTGCTGGAAAAAAATTTAAACTTAAAACCGGATCATACCAAACAAATATCTGCTTGCGTGTCCCCGTGTATGCAAAGTGTACTCCTTTCTGATGTGAAGGAAATGGCCACCCTAGTCAAAGTGAGCACCCTCTGGCTGGCTATAGTGGCTACAGGTCACAAGTCCCACACCCTTCATAAGTGACACTAAAACTTTAAGTACTCTTCAAATACAGTTTCTCCAAACGTGTTTATTATTTTAGGTAGTTATTATCACGATCATCCATGTCCAACAGTCTATTTCCCCGGATGAGATGGTTTTTATTCGTTATTTGACACTATAAACACACACTGACCTCCTTGAGCTTTTATTTTGGTACTTCCGGTTACCGGCATTTTGAATTTGCATATTAGTTAAATATTTAGTTTAACCCGAAACATTTAGATTTAACATTTAACATTTAGATTTAACATTTAGATTTAGATTTAGATTTAACATTTAGATCTAACATTTAACATTTAGATTTAACATTTAGATTTAGATTTAGATTTAACATTTAGATTTAACATTTAGATTTAACATTTAGATTTAGATTTAAATTTAACATTTAGATTTAGATTTAGCATTTAGCATTTAGCATTTAGATTTAGATTTAGCATTTAGATTTAGATTTAGCATTTAGATTTAACATTTAGGTGTACCATTTAATATTTAAATAAATAATTTAAAATATCTCTAAGTTGACAAATATTGTTGTAAATGTGCAAAAAAGTGACCCTCAAAAATTCATACCAGTTTTTTAAACATTGTTTGAAGCTAAATGTGACAAAATGTTGCTGTTATTTTCAGCGTGAGCCAGTGGACCAAACCGCGAAACAGTGTGTGTTATTCCAGTACTCTCTCAGTGGAGGGAGGGTGACATTGGTGTTTGTTTGCTTAATTCATGATTATTGTTAAAATAGAGTTATTTTCACTTTCTATTTTAAGGAAGTAGATTTTTGTTGGAACTTTGAACTTTTCATTTGCTTTTCATAAGACGTTTAATAAATAGTTTTGTTGGTACATATAATTCTGTTTTTCCGTCTTTCTTTTATCCTGGGTTATTTATTAATTGTCTGAACTGTGGAAACTTAACTGTCACTGCAGTTTCTCCTGGTTTACAACACTACTGACTTATCTTTATCTATATAGATTGATGTCTATATGTCTAACCTTTTTTTAGCACGGTATCAGCACTAGTATTTGCTATCAGCGTCATGTGTACTGCGATAACAACAATAAACATGCTGGAAGTGCAGATTTGACTAATGTAGGTGCAGCTCTCAGAGGGCAATAAATATTGGGTGTCTTTGTGTGAGCTTAATCTCCGTTTGCTAGAGCAGACGAAAACTAAATCAAAAGAAAAAATAACAAAAACCCAGCCTTTTTTTCAAATAACTTATCAAGTCAGTTGGGTGGGTCCTCTAGCAATAAAGTGTCTGGAGTACATAGGGTGAGAGAGCAGAAGAAAAAGCTCAGTGTGAACAGAAAAAAAGCAATTCATCCAGCATATAAGCAGCCATACAAGTCATATAATGACATGGTTTAAAGCAGCATCAATTGAGACTGACAATTTGATTGCCTATTTACACATCCTGCAGACACAGAACAATATTTGAATTAATTTGGGGGTTTTTTTATGGCGAGACAATGAATGCATATCCTATACTAACTCTGCTTTTAGCTAGACTCAACCAAATCTGTCCGCAGTTTGGTGCTGGGTAGCGTGCAGTGCGTTTAAAAGCTTTTGCAGGAAATTAGTTTGATGGGAGTGCTGAGAATGAACCACACTGATGCTCTGAGTCTAAATGTAAAAGCAGATTGTTAGAGGATGGAGGCAGCCCTGTCACATGGTGTACATCAGTGTGTCAGGACAGGTGTCTGGGTAGTAATGGATTACAAGTAATGTGGATGGATACAAAAGTATATTTACTTTATATATGTGGGAGATGAATGTTATAGATGGGGTAATAAATGTATTAAGTTCGGTTAAGTGTTTTTTATGGTAGGGAAAAGTCTGCTAAGAATCTGTTAATAAGTCACCATTGTGTTAAGGATGTTCACATGTGAGTTACAAGTGATACTGTTAGGACGTATCCAGGTGATCTTGAAGATACTGGATGGTATATACGGTAGATCATTCTGAAAGTCTGGGAGCGAACATTCATGCTGCGGTCTTCTCTCCATGCTGCAAGTAATAAAGGGACTTGATTCATCTTTGAACTGTGAATGTGATTTCTCCACCATGAATGAGGTACTGGACTACAACCTAGGGCATAACCATGCATGCAACACTGGAAGTAAAAAAGTACCAATTTGTTCCCAGTAATATATGATAGAAAATATGTCGAATAAGTCTGCCTTTTTTTGAGCATTTTCTCTTGTTATTTTCTATTTATTTTAATTGAATTTACATTTATTCAGGAAAACATTAATTGTGTTACTTCCCTGACTTGGTTGTGCCCAGCACCCTCGTTCAGTGTTGCCAGCTTGGTGATTTTTCCGACTTTGTTTCTAAAAGGCCACTAGCAGCTATATATTTTCCCCCATTTGAAGCTATCCTATTCACTGGAAAATCTATAAATCTAATTGGTAGGTGTGTTAAATGTCAAGCAACTAAAACGCACAGACATATTCCTATTAATGTGAATTCAAATGGCAATATAGTCCTAAAAATGGATTTGTGGGAAATGTTCAACGCAACAATTCTCATAATACTTTTTATATTATATCTTTTTATAATGGCCATTATTACTTTTTAGAACAAATTTTCATCTGCGTTTCCCTGGATTGTGTTTGCTTTATTAGTAACACAAATAATGATGCTTTTTATCTGACAGCTATACATTTTGTCTGCATGGGTGTTTTTGTTCAGATCTGTTGGATTTTTACAAATGCCATTAGGAGCACTAGGAGAAGCCAGAGGCTCCTGATTGTGACTACCTAATGCAGCTTTAATGCATGATGATCTAAGTAACAGATGAATAGAGTTAATAAGGATATTTATTATTATATTATATACACAAAAGAGAGAAACACTTATCATATCACATATTGCTGCAGCATTTCCCCCTAGAATAGTTTTATTTTGACAGTGTGAAGGTTTTAAAAAGTGCTTTTATCAAATTACAGGCAGTCTAACAGTTAGCTGAATATATATTATATATATATATATATATATAATATATATGAGACTTTTAGTTTCATTATGGGGGTGTAGCGGGCTGCACTGGGGGTCCTGTGACTTCAGTTTAATCCTAACTTATTTCTCCCTGACATTTTACAGGACTATTAAAAAGTATTAGAGTTCCTGTGCGTTTTCTGTCAGGTGCTGTACAGCTTTACAGTAAGCACATGAGCCTTTACAGTAAATGTTAAAAAGTAAAAGCACTGTATAAAATATTCAGTTTATGTGGGAAACATCTTAACAATGGTCTGAAATATCCCTGGAGTAACTGTTAGTTGGAATCCTCAACATTGTGTTCCTCTCTGTTAGCACAGAAACTATTTAACTTTAGCTTCATATTTAACTGAACTTGGAAACACGACTTAAAGCATTCATTAACGCGGTAAGAATGAGACTTACCTGTGTCGGGCGTGGTTCCTTCGGCTCAGCTCACTAAAAAGAGCCGACTGTTTCGGCTCCCAAGTGGCTCCTTAGATTGTTTTGTTGCTTAAATTAATTTATCACCAAATTATGTGTAAAACGAATTACTAATGTAAATACATACATTATATCAAATGTTTATTATTTATATGGATTTCTTAATATACTCAACATGGAACAGATTGCCGCAATGAATGATAAAAAAAACAAAGACCGTCAACAAAAAGGAAAACTTCACTATGTTTTTTTTCCTTTTTTTTTTT